TCTTTCTCATAGGAGCGTCCTAAAAATCAAATCACAAAGTCTATTGTTTATAAGTTGCAAAGGACTACACAAATATGGTATCCCTGCTTAAAGACAGTGTGTTTGTTGATTGACTGCAGGTGAAATGTGCACTTGGCCTGGAGGCCTGGGCTGAGCTGGACCTGCCTCTGCCAACTTGGATATTGGTTAAAAAGCAGACTCCATTGCTCCACACTGCCTGCCTGAGGCTAAAACAGGGTGCTCCTGCCCTGCCCGGTACCTGAGGGTGTCCCCTATAGTCTTTGACATCTTTGCTGCAGACTTGAGAATCACCGCTTTGGTTAAAACATTTCCCCATCAGACTGTACCTTTGGATCTATTTCCTCTCCTTTTTCCTTTTATTTTTTTAATTGTAAATAAGCCTGCGGCCAATATCTTTGGACACAGACCCTTTGGGTTTGGGCTGGTTTTCTACGATAAGAAATGCTGAGTCAAGGGGATGGACTTTAAGGCTCCTGGTACAGACTGCCAACTTCTTTTCCAGGAAGACTAGGAATCTGCTACCACACTATGGGACGGGGCATGGAGGGGGTGTTTGGAGCCTGATGTCCTTTGAGCCATACCAAGTGTATGGAATTTTTGACCCAAAGAATTAGGAATATTCAGAGGAATTCCTGTTTGGAGGTAAATTAAGAATTTATTTACTCTTGGTCTCTCTCTGGCCCATCTTCACCCCCAAGCTTCCAGTGGCCCCCTGGGAACCTCCACCTGACGTGTCAAAGGCGTCCAGACCTGTATAAGGTCCAAATCGACATGATTTCTGTCCCCTTTCCACCGATACCGCAAGCGCGGAGAACCTGTATCAATGAGATGACCTTGATGCTAAATAACCATGGCAACCGGGTTTCCTAAGGAAGTCGCTGAAAAAGGGCCGACTCTGTCTTCCCGTTCCCGGCTGGGCGCTGACATTCGAGGATAGGTCCCTGACAGGGCCTGCGCACCCAGGCAAGGGGCAAAACGGATGACTAACGAGCGTCACGGAGTTTCGCGAGCAAGCGATGTCGGAAAACAGGTACCCAGGTTGCCAGGCAAGCGCAGCGTCGGGGTAGGGCGCGCCCCCGCCAGCATTTCGCGTCCGAGGAGCGACACCGCGCAGGCGCTGTAGGGCCGACCGTCAAGCGCGCGCGTGTTGGTCAGTGCGCATGCACCTTGGGGCGTGCGCGGGGAGGGCGGGGACTAAAGGAGGAAGCAGTAGGGAAGGGGCGGGGTTGAACCCGCCCTCGCGCACGCGCGCGGGACACAAACATTTTGGCGGGTTTTTCCCAGTGGTCGGCGTCTGTGCCGGCCCCCAGGTTCTGTGGTAACTTGCTGGGACGAGACTCTCTCCGGGGAGCCACGCCTTGAGATTTTTGCCCCCGTCGGTCGTAGAGCGGGGAGCTCCCGGCACGTTTTTAGAAGTGTTTCTCCGTGACTGACGGCAGGGCCCTTCGATCCCCGAGGCCCCGGGCCATTCGGCTACTTTCCGCCGCGGCTCCGGGGGGCGAGCGGGTCAGAGGAGCTTCCTGCGCCCGAGCTCTCGCCGGGGGTTTCTCGGACTCTGACGGAGCCGGGGGGGCGGCCCGCGGCGCCCTCCCCCGGGCACCATGAGCGTGTCCGCCCAGCTCCTGCGGGAGGAGCTGCAGATCTTCGGCCTGGACTGCGAGGAGGCGCTGGCAGAGAAGCGTGAGTCCCGCGCCCGCCCCGCAGCCCCCGGAGCCCCGGCGCGCTTCCAGGCCTCCCCAGCCCGGCGCTCGCGGTCTCGGGGCTTAAACTTAGGGTTCGGGATGCAGGGGCTTCGGAGGGCTCCCAGGGCACCGTTTGGGCCCAGCTCGACGCGGGGGGATAGCGCCGGGTTAAATCGGCGCGGTCTGAGAAGGGCGGGGTTGGGGCGCCCCCTGACCAGTCCGGGGCATCTCCGGATTTGGACACGGGGACCCCAGCAAGGATGTCTGGGTTTTGAAGGGTAGCGCTTTACCACGGCGCTTCCCTTCCCAGACCCCCCCATCCCCAAACGTCTGCGCTGCAGTCCCTGCCTGCCAGGGCGCCCCCCTCTGGCATTATAGGGCCCTCGGGGGACCTCAAGGGGCAGGTGTGTGTGTGGGGGGGACACCTAAAATCAAATCCCGGGGCCTCCCTGGTGGCACAATGGGTTAAAGTACAGCTATCGCTGCCCCTGCAGCACCAGTTGGATCCCGGGAGGGACCCACAGGGCGCAGCAGACCCCTCCTGTCTCCCCGCTGCTCCCTTCAGCAGCGTGTTTCAGTGCATCTGCCTGCTCTGCTCCCCACTCTCTCTGGTGAGTCTGCTCACCCCCTGCACCTCTGGCCTGTACCCCAGTTAAAATCTTTTTTTTAAAAATTGACTAACGCTTTGCAAGGAACCTTAGCCAGCCCCTCAGCTACTCACAGAGAAACAAGGGGCGTCCCTAGTAGCAGCCTGTGCCCACTTCCTCTCGGGCCGTGCTCCCCACACAGGTCAGACTCCGGCTGCCTGGGCTTGGAGGCCGGCGCCCCACTTTAGCATCAGGATGAAGGGGCCCTGCCCAAAGCCTTGCTCAGCACTTTGAGTTTTTTTCACTTAGCATGAACCTGTTATGTGATCAGAAAGCTCCCAGGTTCTCGGCCAGAGCCTCTCTTCCTAAAAGGAGACTTAAGGGAGGACTTGATCCTTGGACAAGTGTTTGGGGAGCCTGAAGGCAAAACAGGAGCATAAGTGCCAGCGTGCGGGTGTAGGCCAAGTCTGACCACCGTGCAGGCCTGTAGGCCCTGGCCCTGCCAGGCTTCTCAGTCTCCAACTGCAGAGGACTTGCTCGGGCCTTAGCAGCCCTGCCAGGTCCTCCTGGTCTGATCATTGAGTCTGTGGTGACGATTTCCACCCTCCTCACATCCTTCTGTCGCCCTCTCGGCTGATGAACTTCCTGTCTCACTGAGCAGAAGCAGTTAGAAAATGTGTAAAGCTTTCGCCATCGTTCCCCCGCGCGTCTGCCGTGCCCCTCGCCTGTGACAGTGGCCAGGTTTCCCAGATTCTTAGCAAAAGGCAGGCTCTCCACGACAGTCTTCTTTCTTGCCTCTTAAGGACATCATCAAGTCAGTCTCACCTCTTACATATTTTTTTCTAAAGATTTTCTGCCTCAACACGATCAAAATATGGTTCTTATTCTCACCTTTAAAATGCTTTGTCTACTCCACTTCCCACATCCCTTCGCTCCTTCCGGAATACAGCCAACCTCAGTGAAGGCAGCCTAGATCTGCTTCAAATTTTTCCTCCTTAGACCCATTTCGGTAAGTTTTTTACCCGTGTTCCTCCCCCCCCCACACACACACACAGTGAAACTGCTCTCTGAAGGTCATTAATATCCTTCATCTGGCTACATCTGGTGGTGAGTTCTCGGTCCTTGTCTGAATTAGCATCAATTGACATCGACCCTCACAGCGTCTTGAGAACATTTTTCTCTCAGCTTTGTAGACAGGAGTCACCCCTTCTCAGACTTTGTAGATTCGGACTTTTCTGAGTCCTGCTGGCCTTGTGGTTTTACAGCCCCCATATTTCTGATGATTCCCACATGTGTGTCTTAGCCCACACCTCTGAGCTGAGCTGTGGGCTCGTCTGTCCAGCTGCCTGCTGGACATCTCGTTAGGTGTCGACTGACATCTCAAAATATCCAAGTCTCAGGCTGACCTGCAGGCCTCCCCTCCTAGGTGTTTGGGCTAACAACATCATCCTTGACTCCTTTCTTCACACCCCACATCAGTCAGCAAGTCCCACTGGTCTTACCTTCAGGGTCTATCCAGAGTCCACCACTGCTCGCCTGTCCCACTGCTAGCACCTGACCTAAGCCACCACCTCCTCTCACCTAGAGGTTACCATGACCCCCGTAGTCATGGATATCCCATCAGGTTACTGCTCTGCTCAGACCCTCCAGTGCTGTGCCTGCCCAAGATACTACCAAGGTAGTTACAGTAGCCAGCAGCCTGCACCCTTCCTGTCTCCTCCCTCACTACAACCCAGCCACAGGGGCTGGCTGGTCTTATGTCTACCTCAGGATCTTTGCCCGAATGCTCTTTCACTAAATACTATATGACTCATGGCTTCACTGTCTTCAACTCTTTTTTTTTTTTTTTTTTTCTTATTTATGCACATAGAACTGTGGTACGGGCCAGAGGCGCAGGGGCGGTGAGAGGATTCACCAGAGACAGAGTGGGGAGCAAAACAGGCCGAGTGACAAAACAAGCCGAGTGACGGAAGCAGCGGGTGGGCCAGGAGAGGTCTGCCGCGCCATGTGGATCACCTCTGGGGCCAGGGATCGAACTTGGACTAAAGCAGCTGCAGCCAGCTTACAGTGCTGTGTCCTAAGCCGTTGCACCACCAGGGAGGACCCTGTCTTCAAATCTTAACTCAAATGCCATCTCAGTAAAGCCTGCTTAGACCTGCCAACCCCTCCCCCCCCAAATCCTGATCCCTCCCTTGGCCTTATTTTTCTGCAGTACATACTGTAACATAACCTGTTTTCCATTTTACTTATTTTCGGTCTCCCCTTTATAGTGAACTTTGTGCAGACAAGGATTCTTTTTGTTGTGTTTACTTCTGGCTTCTAGAACCAAGCCTGGCCCTAGAAGGCATTGAATAAATATTAATGGAATAAGTAAAGGATTAGTATTGGTTCTGAACATGAAAGCTGCAAGAAATAAAGTTCTCACTTGTCTGATTTGCCTTCCCGCAGTGGTGGAGCTGTGTATTCTCTATGGACAGAATGAGGAGAGGATGGTAGGCGAACTGATTGCCTTCTGTACCAGCAACAGTGTCTGCCTTACCTCAGACACCCTGAGCACTTTTGAGCACGAGGTAAGAACAAAGTATGAGGACGCTAATAATGAAATTTCCACTTCTGCTCTGTAGGGAGATGTATTGTACTGAGGAGTGACTTCGGACTTGGATCTGGATTCCAGTCCCATTGTGAGCGTGGGCAGAAATTTAGTGTCTCTCGGGTCTTGTTTTTCTTTTCTTTATTTTTTATGGTTGTTGTGAGAATTAAACAAGACTAGATATTAGTCACCTAAAGCTATGGCCAGCAGGTGGTAGGTCTTCAACAGATAATTGGCATTATTGGAATTGTTATAGTGTAGAGAACCAATCTCAGGACAAATCTTCATTTCAGCCTATCAAGCACCTTCTTACTTCCTACTCTGAGGGTGGTATGTCTTTGGTCATGTGTCAGATGCCTGTGTTACTTCACAACTATGGAACATGCCTCCTCTATTACTTGATCATGGGATAATATATTCATTGTCTTTTATTCCTCAGTGTCTGAGCAAAAGATCATCCAAAGCCTTGCGAGGTGCCTCGAAGGACAGTGGGCATGCAGGCGCTAGAGACATAATTTCCATACAAGAGCTGTATCCTTTTCTGCTGGCGTCTTTGTGTGTTATGTTTTATAGTTTGCTGGCAGTTGCACATGTAATTTAAAGGCAAATAGTAAAATTATCTAATATTTAGGATTTTTAAAATCAAACCTTGCCTAAGATTTTGGGTAGAAGTTTATTATTATTTTTCTTAACCAAATCTTAGAATTGAAGTGGAAGAAGAGGAGGAGACCCTTTTGAACTCTTACACCACACCCTCTAAGGTGAGTATACACTGCAGAAGTTGTCAGTATATCCCACAAGTAACACTTTTTCTTTATTCAAGAAACACCCCAACATTACACATCTTCCTGCCGATCAGGTATGTGGGTGTTTTTACCTATCAGTCCTTGTAAACATATAGTTATCCTGCTTTTTTCAGTTAGCTATGATAAAAGTTTCATGTATACAATTTCACCGTAATGTTAATGGTTACACAGTTTTGTATCAAGTGGTGATGACTAGAATTGATTGATCATCCAGGTCTTGTGTGGGGCCCCGTGAGAGGTAGAGAAAGCAGCGGGAAAGCACTGTCTGCGCAGCCTGAGTCAGAAGCCCGAGGTGACGCAGTGCACTGCTTCCTCTGAACTGCAGCTTCCTTCCCTCTGCAATCAGAATCTGTTAGTTCATTTCCTGAGCAGCTACACTGTGCCACGCACTGTGCTGGACCCCAGGGAAAGGGCGACCAGGCACAAAGTCAGTGGGCTTCAGAACCTCACAGCCCGGGGACAGCATCCCCTGCCATGGGCTTGAAGATAAAGCGAATTTGTAGAGAGCCAGGCCCAAAGCAATACATTCCGTAATCTCGTTATTTGCTACATCCATTCCATGGTGTTCTTTATACAAAATAAATTTGTGGAAATCAGTCATGGGGTGAGCCTCACTTTTCCAAAGTAAACTGCACTGTAAGATAAGTAGGATAGTGTATTTGTTTATAGAAGGCAAGAACTCTAGAAATGTGACTTGTGAATTTGCTATCACACTACTGATGCAAATATTAAGGAAATAATGAGATTTTCTTTAGCTTATTGAAGTTGGAGAGATGATGACATTTGATTGTCTCATTCACCCCCCTACCCCAGCTGGCAACTGGGCCTTTCCCAGTAAAGGGGCCTCCAATTCTTCTGGTTGCTCAGGCCAAGAATTTTGGAGGCCTTCTCGAACCTTCCTTTTCTCTCACTCCCCACATCTTACCTGAATACAAATCCCTCCTTCTGAGATCTGCCCTGCCCCCCATACACACACACAGCACACAAACAACACACACACACACTGCAGTGCCTTCTGCTGGAGACTCAGCTACCTCTCTAGGTAGGGTCAAACTGCAGCAGGGTCCGCTGCCTGTTGACCTGAGTCACAGCGTCAGAGCTCCAAGACCACCACATTTGTCTGCAGTTCAAGAGTTGATCATATTCTTGGGGACTAACTCACGGTAGCCCAGTTCTCAGTAGACAGATGCATCTGTCAAATGCAAGTGTACTTAGTTTACAGTTGAAGTCCATACCGTCCATTGATGATACCCCATTGCTGCTGCAAAAGCTTTTAAGAGGCTCAATTAAAGTTTTGACTATGGTGTAGTGAGTTGAATTGAAAGAAGCAAACCATTTAAAATAAAGTATGTGTCTGAAGCTCAGAGGAGACCCAGTGTGGGTCTGGGCTGGCGGATTAAATGCTCAAGCAGCACCCACCCATGGAGACGGCTCCTGATTAGGCCACACCACGGCGCCGTGTGACAGTGGCCAGAGTGCCACACCGTGCCAGCCTCCGTGGCCTGAGCACTGAAGTTCGCTGTGTATTTCTAGAAAGTGAGTCCCAGCTGTGTATTTCTAGAAAGTGAGCACCCTGCATCTCAGCTGGGCCGGGTTTCGGCGCGCTGTGACTCTGTTGCCCTCAGGAGGGTTGGGCCCTCGTGGCCGTGCTCTCGTCGCAAGCGAGGAAGCGGGCACTGAGATCAGGCAGGCGTGATGTGACCCCCGAGAGCTTGGTGGGATGAGCAGATTCCTGAGAAGCCTAAGCTGAAGACAATTTGTGGACAACGTCGGTTTCTCCATGAAGACTGGGATGAGACCGCAGACTGCACTTTCCCAGAACCATCTCCCCGCTGTGTGGGCAGGCAGACAGCTCCTCGTGAGACAGCCTGCTCCTTGGCCCTGGAGCACTGTAGCCTGCTGCACGGCAGAGGAGCTTTGGGGCGCTACTTTGAGAAGATACAGCTAAGTCTTTCCGTTCTTTGACCCAGTGATTCTCCCTAGCAAGGATCTCTTCTGTGGCGATCATCCAAACATGGGGAGAGCTTTAATGGTGAAGACAGGCAGCTCAGCGTTGTTTCCGTACAGCCCGCAACAGGGAAGGGTCACGTGAATTGTCGCCTCAGTCACCATGGCTACTAAAAGGATAAAGCTTGTGATTGTACTAAAAAGCTCATAATTAACAGAAAGCAAAAGCCAAAATGCAGATTGTTTAAACTAGATCGTAACTGTTAGAATGTATATTTTTTTACTTGGAAAATGTTAAAATAATAGGAATAGTTTACAGTGGTTACCCTAGAAGGGGGTTGTGACATTCGCTACCTGCTCTTGGCTTAGCATCCAAGCCAAGATTGCCCCCTGTCTGTCTCCTGTCCCTGCCTGCGGCCAGTCATCCCCGCAGCCTCTCCAGTGGCATAACATGAGTGGCAGCCAGGAGGAGCCCAAGGGCAGGGAGACGTGCAGACGCGCCAGCCTCCTGGTTGCCAGCTGCCCAGGCTTTTGTCTTCTCTGTCAGTCAGTCATCCCAGACCTCGGGAGCCACAGCGCTCTGGCTGGGTTTCAGCCTCCATTCTGGACACAGCTTCAGATTCTTGATGAGCAGAAACCAGAAAGAAAAGTGACCACCCACAATGTGTCGCCTGCACACAGCAGCAGGAGTGCGCTCAGCCTGGTACCTGCTAAGCTACTCCTTCCTTAGCTGTGGAGATCTGTGGTAGACTTTGCCAAAAGAGCAGCAGCAGGGCCCAGACCCTTCTGCGGAAAACTTGGTCCAAACAGGCCATGGCTGTTCACGTGGCGAAACTACATCTGCACTGGTGCGGAGCAGTGAACCTGAAAGATTTGACAGGACTGACAGTGGCCTGCTGCCTGCCATCCTTTTTGGGAAATGCTGGCATCTTTTCATAATTGCCTTCAAAATAGGGCTGCTCTGGTGAGCATTGGCTTCCAGTCACTGGGATCCCTCTCTGGCCTAGGCTTGGGACATGGGCCCAAAGAGAAGCCCTCCTGCCTGGCATCACTCATTCTTCCAGAGGATAACTGCTGGGAGACAGCAGGCGGGGTCTAGGGGGACTGAGACTGGTGTGTTTTTTCTCGTTTCTAGGGTTCTCAAAAGCGAGCTGTCACCACCCCAAAGACCCCCCTAACAAAAAGGAGAGCTTCTGCTCGGAGCCCCCATCAGCTCCTCTCGCCATCAAGTTTCTCTCCGAGGTATGGGTCATAATCCCTTCAGCTGCCAAAAAGCAGGTTGACCCCCTCTCTGGGGTGGTCCAGCAGGGCTCACTGTAGTGACTTGCTGACAGTGGGTGGACGCAGCGCTGCCGAGCACTGGCTGGAGGCCCTTGCTCTCTGCCCTCCCTGCCTTCTCTTCCTGTGGAAAATTACTGTTTCTTACGGTAATTAAGGAAACTCACTTTCCACCCACTTTTCTGGGGCTCATTTCCTAGATCTGGGGACTGATATCTTCTACTACAAACAACCTGTCCATTCAGAGGCCTGGGAGCCTCACAGTCTTGCCAGCGGAGACAAGTAGGTTTCCACCTGCTCTTTTAGTCTGCGTGCTGTTGGGTTTCTTTTCTTTTTTTAAATCTCAAGTATTTATTTTTTAGAAAGAAAAGCACGTATCTTTGTTCACAATGTTGTGTAACCTGTTTATTGTTCCTTGCTCAGGTTACAACTGGTTTCTGAGCATTTTCTTGTCACTGAATCTACAGACTTAATTGGTATTTTATCCCTGCTGCCCCCTCTGCACATAATCCACAAAGATCAGATGTGATTTTTTGGAATCCGTAACGACCTGTCTCCTACGAGAGCGCTCCAGAGGCGTGAGCCTGCTGAGTGGAAGAAAGGTTTTTGCCTACTGCTTGTCAGTGTGAGGGGCAGCCCTGTCAGCCGCCATGGGGAACACCCTGCCCAGAGCCACTTCCCTGCTGTGGGTCACTCGAGCCAAGCAGACGTCGAGCCCTCTCAGCTGTCATACAGGGAGTTGTGCAGCTGTGACCTTGGGTCTCAGGTCCTTTAGATGCAGGGTGGCAGCCATCCTGTAGGGAATTCTCAAACTGCTTTTGGAAGGGAGGTTTTTAGACTGACGAGGACACCTCTGAGCCTGGCTGTGTGGAGATGGTTCTCACAGTGTGCCAGCGCTGGGACAGCACCTTGTTCTGTGAGGAGCCCGCCTTTGAAAGCTGTGAGTCTTTTGTGGCTGACCTGGATGAGTGTCTGGCCACAGTGAAGGCGGCGTGGGGAGGCGGACCCCGCAGCTTCTCGGAGGAGTTGGGAAAGCCGGCCACACGCTGACTGCCTAGTCACCTTTTAATGCACGCTAATAAAGCTGACATCAGAAACTGGTTTTGTAATTTATGAAAGTAACTTCTAAATTACTCAGGTAGAGACGATACTGAGATCAAGATAATTAGTTGAGCTCATTTTCTCTTGTGGAAAGAAGAAATGATGGCACCAGTCACAGTGGTGCCCACATAAAACTGGCTTCTGCAGTTTCGGTGCACTAAGTGAAGCTTGTGACCAGCCCGCTGTGCGGGGCAAGTTCTAAAGGGCCAACACCCTTCTGTCAGAGCAGACCAGCAGCCGAGTGTCCCGGAAGGTGGGAGTGGAACGGGAGGGCTTGTCGGTCTAGCCTTGAGGACCAGAATGTGTGTCCACCTTCAGGCCACCTCCGTGGACACGGGTGCTGCTTGACCTCACCTAACTTCGTCTTACTTTGTGAGCTCCTTTTGTGAGGTGTTACAGATGTGCACAGCAGTTGTTCCTTTATCCATAGTTCCAAGCTCTTCGGGGAATCTGATCGATGATAAAAATTGATAAGAAAGAAAAGGAAATGAATGTACCTGAACCTCGCCTTTTAGTCAGTTCAAAGTTTGGGGATTTGTTTTGCCTTTTTAGGTTTAAGCCAACAGAATGACAGCCTTTTAAAACATGCTTCTGGCGCCATGCTTCTCGAACGTGTTTGGTGCTCCTCAGCCTGCTTCCTCAGCCCCTCACTCCTGGACTTCCAGATGGGCCTGAGTATCCTACCCCTAGGCTGGCTATATTCATAAAATGTGAGGCCAGCCAAAGGTTTCATCAGTCACAGTCCCCAGCCCCACTTAAAGGCAGCCTCACCTTAACTGCTGTTGAATGTGAACAGTAATGGCGTCTGTTTTGCTTCCAATTAGTGCTACTCCCTCTCAGAAATACAGCTCGAGGAATAACCGAGGAGAAGTGGTGACCACCTTTGGCTCTGCCCAGGGCATATCTTGGTCCGGGAGAGGAGGTGCCGGTGACATCAGCTTGAAGGTCTTGGGGTATCCAGAGTCACTAACCCAGAGCTACAAATCAATGTTTCAGAAGCTCTCAGACATTCGAGAAGGTGATTGTTTTTCCCTTTGAAATCTGGAAAATACAAAACCATCTGGGAGGGTTTAGTATCAGTAATAAAGACAGCAAGGTTGGTGGAGCAAGTTCCCAGGATTCCTTAGAATAGATAAGTTGGCAGGTGTCCCCTGCCCCCTGGGTGCCCCTGTTGGTGGCAGGCCACAAGGTGACATTCATTCTCCCAAGTCATCTCTTCACTGAAGAAGCCCACAACCATTTCCCAGTAAGGAAGCCAGTTAAAGTCCATCTTTTATGGCTGCTTCCTTGTGAAGTGTGGCAGGTTCTTTGTTGGCTGGGCTGCTCCGACCTTTGCTGAGTGAAGGAAGACGAGAGCTGAGGCGTGGTGCCGTGCCATCTCCTGCACGACCCCTCCTGCCCAGGCCAAATGCAGCCACCACAGGGAAAACTGCTGGGTCTTCAGGAAGTGTCAATTGGCTGCGCTTCGAGGCCCCTTCCTGCTTTTATGAAACAGCCGATTTGATCTTAGTTGGTGACAATGTGCTGTGTTTTTTCTTGGTCAATGAAATGTCTTAAACACAAACGCTTCTTTCTGGGTTTTCAGTTCTAACCTGTAAAATAGAAGAACTTGGCAGTGACCTCAAGGAACATTACAAGATTGAAGCTTTTACACCTGTCCAGTCCCCAGCACAGGTCAGAGCTTCCAAACGTACCTTGTGTTTAGATCTGTGGTGGAAAGATAGCCTTCTCTAACATCCGATCAGAACATCCGCCGTGGTGGAAGTTGGCAAAAATGGGTTATTCCAAAGAAAGAATTCCGGTTTTGTGACCAGAGACATGTTTTCTTTATGCCTGAATCAGGCGTAGACTGAGGACCACTTCAGCAAGACTGAAGTACTGAGCGGGTAGCCACTAAACTGAAAGCTGAAGAGCAGGACGAGTGTACCCACAAGGCTAGGACTCCCAGAAACGGACACAGTCACGTCTGCTGGTCTCTGTCCGCACAGGCCAAGCGCTGCCAATAGTATGTGCTCGCTGAGCTTTAGCCTGGCATATGTAACATAACATTTTAAATCTGAAAGGAGATGTGTTCTAGAAGATTCTTTAAGGTAGCTCTCATACATTTGCATTCAGATTAGAATGATGGGCTGGGGAAGACATACAGAGCCATATCCTATAAGGAGCTTCTGGAGGAAGTAATGAGCTAGAGGCAGAATGCACTGTCTTGTGGGGAGAGATTTGCCCCCCAGGAATAGGAACAGGACAGAGGAAGCACAGGGAGGAGAATTTCAGCTCACTGTAATGAAGAGCTTCCTGTTAGAGACAGTCTGGTGTGCGGTTCAGGATATGACTCTGGAGCCAGACCTCAAACCCAGGCATCACCCACCGTTGACCTTGACTAAGTAGTTGAGTGTCTCTGCTGCTCATTTTTCTCATCTGCACAATCAGTGCAGTAATAGTATCTACCAGCAGGTGTTGAGAGGAGTGAGTGGCCAGTCAGTACAGGTTATCCTTCATAGCAGTGCCTGGCGTTCCGAAAGCTCAGTGAGCTTATTAACAGTTACAGTGGTCCAGAGGTGCTGGGGCGTGTGGAGGTAAATTCTCCATCACTTAGGACGTTCAAGCTTTGGTGGCCATGAGGGGGGTTGAGCAGAATGTTTGCCTGTTAAGAATTCTACCCCTGAGAACCAGTGCTGAGGTCACTTCCAAGTTGTGAGGCTGTCGCACCAAAGAAATGTCTGCTGTCCTTGGGGGTTCACTTGCTAGTCACTCTTCGACCTCAGATGTTGAGGTCCCCTCTCTTCCTTTCCATAGGAACCTGTCACACTGCTGGGCCAGATCGGCTGTGACAGCAACGGGAAGCTAAACAGCAAATCAGTGATCCTAGAGGGAGACCAGGAACATTCCTCCGGGGCTCAAATGCCAGTGGATTTATCTGAGCTCAAGGAATATTCTCTGTTTCCTGGGCAGGTGAGGTTGGAGTCCCTGGGCCGGGACACGGCCTGCTGTGTACTCTGGTGGGGCTGGGGGCTGTGGCTCCAGGAACAAGCCTGTCATCTCTGGCCATCTGCCCCTTGCTTTCGGCTTCCTGCCAGGAGGTGTGGCTGGAGCCCAGATCCAGAGCACTGGGATTGGGGTGCCAGTTTTCTCTCTATGCTAGCATCTGACTAGCATCTGGGTTCAAACCCCAGCCCCACCCCACGAGGCGTTGATTATAGTCATGTTATTTAACTTCTCAAGCCAGGGTGTTGACATCTGTAAAATGGAAATAATAGTCTTCACCTCATAGGGTCATTGTGAAAATTAGGTCATCTTTGCAGAGCATAATTATTACTAATACTTAATTTGTCTTCTAGAAAAATACCCCAACTTTGAAGTTACAGAGTGAGAGTAGCTGGACTATGTATTTAACGACATCAGATAATGTATGATCGCCTCATTTTGCATTCAATTCATTCAATTCTGTTTTGTTTCTTGTCTCTCAGGTTGTAATTATGGAAGGAATCAATACCACTGGGAGAAAGTTTATTGCCACCAAACTCTACGAGGTACCATGGGACCCCCACCCCCCACCCCTGCTCCCTCCTGGTTGGCTGCAGGCCCTGTATGTGCAGCTCTTTCTGGCCTTGAGACTGTCCTTTTTTAAGACCCTGTTGATTTGGTTCCAGTTCTCTAAATGGAGTGGGACTAGCTCAGGGCTTAGCAAACTCCTGTAAAGGGCCAGGCAGGAGTGTTTTAGGCCCCGCGCTATCTGCCGGCTGCATGGTCGCAGCCACTGACCACCTGTAAGCCGGCACTCCAGTAGAGCTCCTTTGACAATCACGGGTGTCAGCTAGGTCTCGCTGTCCCAGGTCTGGGTAGTAATTCACACATTCTCACAGGCTGCAAGAAAAAGTGGCAGAGACCCGGCTGCCTGTCCTAGCCAGGGTGGACACTGGGGCTTCAGGCACCTGTATTGCTCCCTCATTGCAGCAGGGTATTTTGAGTTTACTTGTGACCTGTTACTGGGTTTCCTTTCCATGCTAAGCATTGTTGACAAAGGGCAGGTGCCGTCAGTTCTGTGGGGGGTTAGCTTCCCTCCACCTGACCCCTCCCCGCCATTTTCCCACACACAGCTGCAGACATGTCCCGCTGGCTTACCAAGGCAAGACTTCCGTTTACTTCTCTCCTGTTTTTCAGGGTGTGCCACTTCCGTTTTACCAGCCCACTGAAGAGGATGGAGGTAAGCCTGGGTTCAGACATTGTTGAACCAGTAGCGAGCCCGGTGGACAGATGGCCAGGGTCCAGGAATGCCTGCAGTTGCCCAGGACATGAGAAGGGTGACGGTGGACTGGTGGGCTCATGGGCCCCTGGTGGCAGGAAGCCAGGAGTTCGGTCTTGTGAGCTGCTCAGTGCGCTCCCCGGGGCTCCGAGTCCGCAGGTCTGTGGTTTAGGCTGATGTTTAACAGGTGTTTGAAGGTTATGAAAAAGGGAAAACCAGCTATTTTTCGAATTTAAGTGCCATGTGTGATCGATATCCTGCCCTGGAATCTGGAAGAGAAAATGAATGTCCGTGGTCAACTGGGGACCTCCAGATAAAGTCAGAGGTTAGCCAACGGAAGGAGCTGGGACACGCAGCAGTTAGGTGGGTGCGGGAATGCTGGGTGCGGGGTGCACACACAGGAGCTCTGTGCGAGCTGCACGACCTAACGTCCCTGAATAAAGTTACAGAAAATTAGGTGAATTCCAGATGGGAAAGACAGAAGTAGTAATAAATTTGCTTCAAAATAACTCACAGTGTATCTGTAGCAAAGCAGAACACAACAAGGATCAGCAGCGAGACGGCGACGCCCGTGTACTGTCCGCACCAGCCACTAGCAGTGCGTGAGCTCGTTCTTGGACACAACCTAGAGCCAGCAATGAAAGTTAGAAGTTGACATCACACTTTCAATCAGGAAACGTTTTTCTGGCAACAAGAATAGTGTGTCAGGTGGACTTCAGGAAGGGGAAGGAGTTGGCATGGCGGAGGTGCCCAGAGCGGAGCTCTGCATCTGCCTGTGGGCTCCTCCTCGACCTAATTTAACGTTGCCCCTGGCTTAGCACTCCGCAGAAGGTCCCTTCCCGTGAGTTCTCTTCAGTTGATGGCAGTCGCACTGTGGTGGGAGAGTCACGCCTCTCCCCTCCTGGGCCTGTGGACGACTTCTCATGGCAGAGGGAATTTGCGGGTGCGGTTGAGTTAAGGCTGAGCTAGAGGAGCGGTGTCCCACGTCAGTTTGTAGAAGGGAGGGGGTGCTCAGAGCTGGAGATTCCAGCTGTCGGCTCGCGGAGGGCAGCGCTGCCGGCATCTTCACCTTGTGACCTCCAGCAGTGCGACAGGGTGCTGTGGGTGCCTGAGCTTTGCTGTGCATCACAGCGGCAGCTGGAAACAAGTACGGCTGCTTAGGAATCGGGTCCTTGCGCGTTACTGTTATAGCAGCAGGACAGACGGGTTCAGGCGAACTTAAAGGGGATATGGAGGGGAATCCTGGTGCCTCCAAGCCTCGCTGGGATGCCAGGCTCGGGCCAGACGGGCCTCAGGTAGCAGCGGCCTCCCCACCATCTCGTCCAGCCCCCGCTGCTGGGGCAGGTCAGCTGCGGCCTTGGGTGGCTCATCTGGAAGTTTCAGGACTCGGGAGGAGAGTGAGTGGCTCCAACTGGGGAAAGATGGCGATCCTCGGCCCGCCCGGGCAGCCTTCTGCAGAGGGCTGGTGATCCCGCAGGGGCAGGTGCTGTGAGGGGGAGGGCCGCAGCCAGGGGGCCACAGGGCGGAAACTGCTGGCGCCCCCGCCTGTGCTCTCTTTCCGTGCTGCCAGGGGAAACGAGTTGGAGATGTGTGGTGGCGCAGGGCTACGGCCGTTCAGAATGCTCAGCTTTATGTTCTGTTTATTTTAGCATAATAAAAGTCCGGGAGGGGGCTGCGGAAACACCTCGCCTCCAGCAGTCCTCTCCTGGCTGCCGCTCCCTAGCGTCGCTCACGCTGCTGCCCAGACCCCAGCCTGTGAGCCAGCTTGTCTGGCGCCGCTGCAGCACCTTCGGGGTGGGCATGGGCCTTCTGCCTGGACTCCCAGGGCTGCGCACCGAGGAGTCTTGGACAAGTGGATCCCCTGGCATTTCTCCCACTGTCCTACTATCTTCCGCTCAATGCCTTTCAATCCTTTCTGTTGCAGATTTGGAGCAAAACATGGTCCTGACAGCCTGCGGGCCTTACACCACGTCTGACAGCATCACCTACGACCCCCTGATCGACCTGATCGCCACCATCAATCGTGACCGGCCGGACGTCTGCATCCTGGTAGGGACCCGCTCGGACAGCTGCCCTGGGAGGTGCCCTGGGGCCTTGGGAGAAGCTGCAGTGGGCCTCATTTTTCAGGAGGCGTGTCAGAGTTTTTCTCTTTCAAAATATTTCTTAATTCTTGTCTCCATCTTTGGGGAAGTGTGCATGACCCACGGGCCTCGTTGAATTCAAACGCCCGGTGCTTTGTGCCCCTTGGTGACGTCATGTTCGTGCCTTGGGCTCCTTTGCCCACGTGCGACTGATCGCCTTTTAAAGCTGGAAGTACTCTTGCGTGACCGTGGAGTTCCCTTGATAGATTGAGAAATGTGGGGAGAAAGCCAGTATTGCAGATGATAACCCTGGCGTGGGTGCCTGCGGCCCCTCCCCTCCCTGGGTCACGTCCGCCACCTCAGATACTGGCCGAGTGCCCTGGCCCCACCTGCTAACCGCGGAGGGCCAGGTGGGCCCTGGGGAGAGGAGAAGTGGTCAGGGGCTCACGAGACTGGTTTGTTCTTTTCGTGCCTTTGTTTCTCCCGGGACCTGCTTACAGTTTGGACCTTTCCTGGATGCTAATCATGATCAGGTTGAGGTAGGTGCCTGGGGTTGGCGTGGGGGGCTGGTGCTGTGTGGGGACATTCATGTGCTCTCCCTGCGGTTCTCAGCTTTGGGGTTTATGCTGCATCTGTAAAAACCCAAGTTAGCCCTGAGGCTGCCAGACATCATCGAAGCAGGCAATTTTTATAAAAGATGTTGAACCTGAGGGCTTCGTTTCACCAGAATGCCAGGCTGTTCCAGGAGGGGGAATGGAAACTGTGAGTCTGGTGTCTTTTGGTGATGGCTGTTGCTGGGCACAAAAGGGCCCGGGGCAGGACCCTCCCTGGCTGCCCTCTGCTCCGTAGCCCACGCCTTGCTGTCCTCCGGTGCTTGCCTGACAGAGGGCCCTTCCCTGGCCACCCCTAGCTGCGAGCTGCTGCTGCCTCCTCTTGCCAGACCTACCAGCGCGCTTTCAAAGCCTTCTTCCTTCAGCCTTCCCTTCCTGAGGGGTGTTACTTCCCTCTTCGCTTCTCCTGCCCCAGCTAGGCTGGGCTGCTCAGCCAGCGTCTCTCGGCCTCTGCCTCTCCTCAGCCCTAGCTGTCGTGCCGCCTGACAGGTGCGCAGTGAAGCGCCGCCGCCTGCCTCTGAGTCTGCCTCCTTGTCTCGCAGAACTACCTGCTCACGAGTTCGTTTGAAGATGTTTTCAAGCAGTGTCTGCGGACGATAATCGAAGGGACGCGGAGGTGAGGCGCTTGCGAAGCTGCCGCGTCTCCCGCACTGCCGCGACAGGCGCAGCCGTCCTGCGGGGCCCTTGTGACTACACAGATCAGATAGGACAGGCCCCGAGCCATCAGCGTCTGTGTGGCACGTGAAAGTAGACGCCCTTGAGAGGAGAAGGCCGCGTAGACGCTCGCTCTTCCCGGGCCTTCTTTCCTCACTCCCTGCGTATAACCCATGTTCCATGGGAATCTTCCCAGCACAATTCTGAGAAGTGTTTGATGGCTTAACCCTGAAATCCCGAGAGGCCCTCAGCTTCTTGTTGTATGAGTGATTGTTTTGGGGTGAGCCCAAGTCCCTCCCCCGAGTCAGCATCGCCCCATGTTTGTGTGCTGCCAGGGCCTAGAGCAGGCGGCGCAACACTCAGCCAGGGTGGGACCTTGGATCCTCGCCACCGACCCGGGGAGGAGCTGTGAGAGGTCATGGTGGTGACGCGCTATGGGCAGCTCTAATTTGAGAGGAAAGTATTCCAGGAAGTCTAAAGCTGGTAGTAGAAAGTTGTTCAGGAAGTTGACACCCTCACTCCCTTATCCCTTGTCCTCCAGGGCCTGAGTTTGGGAGAAGTCGGTAGCAGTGAAAGATCTCTGGAGATTGCTTGTCTGTAGTTGAGCTCATAAAAAGCAAACATTCCTAGGGCTAAGCTTTCAAAAACAAGCCTATGACAAAGGTTGTTTTCACGTGGGGCTCTTCCGCCCCCTGGCCCGAGAACTGCTCCCAGAATCGATGAGTCGTAATACTGCCTTCTGTACCAGCTGTGCGGGCTGGTGCCGGAGGCCCTGCTGGCTGGGGAGGAACACCCCACACTCACCCTGGAGTTGGGGTTCAGTACCAGCCACCACCTGCGGCGGGGCCCTCCCCACCCCCACCAGCCAGCAAAGATAACTCAGGCACCTCCCTCTGGCCTCCAGGTTCATCCCGACACTCAGCCAGTTCACAGACCTGGACGCTGCCCAGTTCCTTGGGGATAAATCCCCGCGAAATAGGCGCAGGGCTGGAGTTTGAGCAGGGCCCGGGGCTTCCGGTGCTTTCCGTCTCAGTTTGGGTTCTGTTCTCGGTTTCTCGCCCTGTGTGGTGTTGACGGCAGCGGTGCACACAAAGAACAAAGCAGGCTCTGTGACCGCAGCACCCAGCGCCGCCAGGCGCTTTCATGGGCAGCCAGTGTGTCCGCGGGGAGGGAGCGGCCCCGCCCTGCCCAGAATAGTACATAAACCACCCTCCCTGGCAGATGAGCCCCAGCTTCCTGAGACACCAGCCATGCAGAGCGTCGGCTGATTTATCACAAAAGCCAGAACCAGTGAGGGCGCCCCTCCGCCCTGGGAGCCGCGCGAGCGCTCTCGTGCTGCTGCAAGGAGCGGCTGTGAGGACCCTCCCTCCGTGATGTATGAAGTTGTGCAATGCTGAGCATAGTTGGAATTTTCTTTCAGATCCCTCCCCCATCAGCCAGGCTGTAGCCAAGAGGAGAGCAATTTCCTCCTTAATGCTCCCACTCCAGCACCTCCACCCAGCAGAGCCCCCGACTCTTGACAGCAGCCAGCTGCTGCCCCGCCCTCTGCCCTTCGTGGATTGAGTCCTGGGGGTCCGAGCACAGATTGCGCCGTTCATGTGCCCCGGCCTGGCTGCCAGACTCAGCGTCCACGCTGGTGGACTTGGCCAGTCACAGTGAACCTCTCCGTGCCGCAGGGTCATAACCAATCTGCAGGGTACCTTTGGTCTCAAGCTTTGGATTTTCTGCTGCAGAAGTCTCTTGTTCGAACTTTGAACAGGCTGGACAAACAAGCGACAGGTGTGACACTAGGTACCAACACCTTATCCCATATGCGGGGCCCCATATCCGGCTGTACCTGAACCTGGAAAGGCCACACGTTCCCATAAGAGACAGCAGGACGTGAGAGCTGCTGGAGCCTGCGGGGTGCACTGGCAGTCACACCTGCAGCCAGCTTCGGTCCCCACGGGCCCCGCTGCCGGGGACAGCCCAGGGAACCGAGGCAGCGGGTTTCTCCCTTCCCCTCTTTGTAGGACGAGGGAGGATAAACAGTTGGCCCTTAGAGTTCAAGGATTCTTCCTTCACCTGTGTGTCGTAACGCTAGAGATTGTCCTAACTGCTTCCGTCAGAGTGGATATCTGCCATCCACGCGTTCACCGTTGCTATGAAATACATCTTTCACTTTAGCAAGACAGTCTGGGGGGTACTAAAGCCAAAGGCATCGCCCTCCTGTAGAGGGTGGTCTGGCGGGGGAGAAGCCAGTCCTCCGTCCCCATCCCTCCAAAGACACCTCCGTCCTTGTCTGGATCATGCCCCCATGTTTTGTTTGTCAGGCTTCCGCTTGACCTAGGCATGGGGGTGCTGTCCCATCTGCTTAGCATGCCAGGCTCGCCCAGGAAGAACCCTCCTGGGGTGACCGGGCTGGCGCCACATCTGTGCCCTCAGTGTGGGGGCCCTAACCCTCTTCCCAGTTCTTCCTGCAAGGCTCCAGTTCTTGGTTCAAATGCTTGTCTTCCTGAATGTTCTAGATCATAGTCTCCTCAACCTTTTTCCTCCAAGACAGTCGGCCCCGTCCTGTCCCCAGGGGAATATCACAGACAGGTGACCCCATCCGGGTGGTGGGTGACAGCAGGTCGCCTTCCGCTCCAACACCCCTTCCCTACAAAGGTTCCCGTGCAGGGTCTCCCCTGCAGGAGGGTCACAGCTGACACTTGACTCTGCCACCAGCTGCTCTGCGCTCATTCCTCTTTCCTGGTTATTGACGCAGCTCTGGTTCCCGCCTCGTCTTTGTCCCCTCCTTGCGAGATGTGCACCACGATCCTGTGTACCCACAGCCACCTTTCACCTACCCCGACCTGCCTCCCGAAGACAAGAAGGTATGGACGCCCTCCCGGGCAGGGGGCGGGGGCGTAGGGACCCAGCTTGGGAGGCATCTTTCAGGGTCCTGAACCTTCCTGCCAAGCAGATATGGTTCTAATTTGCATAAATTGGGAAGGAAGGGGTTCCCCATATCTGCTGCTGCTCAGAGACCCCAGCACCACCACCTTCTCCAGGAAGATATTTCTAGCTTTGGGGTACAAAGGTGTCTCAACCCCTTCTCTTAGCGAGTGCAGTTCGTGTCCGAGCCCTGCAGCCTCTCCATAAACGGAGTGATCTTCGGCCTGACGTCCACAGATCTGCTGTTCCACATGGGGGCCGAGGAGATTAGCAGGTGAGAAGCCTGTTCCAGCCACAGGCTGCCCCTGACCTTCCCTCGCCAGGGAGACCCAGCCGCCGCCTGGCGAGGTCTCGGTTGGAGATCCCCGGGCTGCTCCTCAGGCCTGGTCTCTGGCCAGCCGAGTCCCTGGGCTGGGCGCCTCTGCTGTGTGGGATCCAAGGAAGCTCGGCCATGCCGGCTTTTCTAACTCAGCTGCGCGATTAGGGCATCTGCTGTCCTTCCCTCCCCCGAGTCAGACTTGCCCTGTCTGTGGGGCGAGCTGTGAATTCAGGATGCAGGGTTCTTAAACCAGGACAGCCTGTCGCTGTGCAGGGAACCGGGCTGGAGAGTCCACTGCTGGGCAAGGGGACAAAATGTGTGTGGCACTGACATGGGTGTGCTTGTAGGCTGAGGTGTGGGGCGCAGGGCCACCCCGCTGCGCGCTCACCTCCCTGGTGCAGACGGCGCCTGCTCCCGACCCTCTGGGCACTGCCTGCCAGGCAGCTGACCGTGTCCCGATCCGTCCCTTCCCAAACCCTGTAGTTTATGACTCTCAGAGTCTTCCCCAAAGAGAAACAGGATCTAGAAAAATTAGCTCTTGTGCCGTTTCTTCTCTTCCATCGCAGCTCTTCTGCAGCTTCAGACAGGTTCAGCCGAATACTCAAGCATATCCTGACTCAGAGGAGGTGAGCTCGCGTGCTGGAATAATTGACCACAAGTAGACTGTTCGGGATCACAACTGGCAGATTGGGGGAGAGCCTCCCCAGGCCCCTAGCAGGGACCCACACCTTCTCCCAGCGAACTAAGAGAAAAGGAAGGGGCACCCAGTGGACGTGGGGGGTCCGGGAAGGGCCTCCAGACCAGCTGCTGCTGACTCTCTCTCTCCGTTCCTGTAGCTTCTACCCACTCTACCCTCCCCAGGAAGATGTCACCATAGACTATGAGACTTTCTATACCTACGCACAGCTGCCTGTCACCCCAGATGTCTTCATTGCCCCGTCAGAGCTGAGATACTTTGTGAAGGTCGGTTTGAACCCTGGCTTTTCCCAGAACCAGTCTTTGCCCTTCTAGACCGTGGCACTGTCTCTTCAGGGTCTGCAGGTGGGGGTGGTGGGGGCGGGGAGCAAATATGTTAGTAAACTGTGTGAGTAAACAGCACTCCCACGTGCACGCGCAGCCCAGCACGGTGCTGGCTCAGCCCAGCCTGAGAGTCCTCAGACAGCGCTGCCGTGGGGGCTGTGCACATGCCTGCTGGCCTGACCCCTCCCCCGAGTTCTGACGTGACCCCTCAAATGGACTCAGCTGGGCATCTCGGAAGAAGCCCACAGGTCACTCTGTGCCTGGGGCTGGGTCCCTCGCAGGGAGCCCATCCAGTCAGGAACCCTCTTGCCAAGCCAGAGCAGTCCACCGCGAGAGGTGAAGATGTTCACACTGGAAAGTGATGAGCAGGTCAGGCTTGTCTCCAGGTTTGGGAGCTGATTGTCACCTTGCCCGAGGCCCCTGGTTTATTTCAGAGACTCGAATTCAGTTTAGCAATGATGTATGCAACTGAGGTGTGTTTGGGCACCTTCATTTTCATGATTTATTTATTTATGCACACAAGAACTGGGGTACAGGCCACAAGTGTGGGGGGTGAGAGGACTCACCAGAGACAGACTGGGGAACAGAAAAGGTGGATCGAGCAAAACACACTGCTGAGGGGAGCAGCAGGCAGGTCAAGAGAGGCCTGCTGTACCCTGTGGGTTACTCCCTGGCAGGGGATTGCCTCATAGTGCTGTGCTTTAACCCACTGTGCCACCAGGAAGGGCCCTCATTTCCATTTTCTAAGGTCCTCTGTGGGGTCTGAGGTGAGGGGTTCCAAGTTTGTCACATCTGTCCCTTCCCAGACCCACAGCCGTCTTTCCTTCCTCCAGGACGTCCTCGGCTGTGTCTGTGTGAATCCTGGGCGCCTCACCAAAGGGCAGGTGGGAGGCACCTTTGGCCGGCTCTACATCCGGAGGCAGCCGGTGGACGGGGAGGGGCGGCCAAGCCCCTGCGTCGCGGCCCAGGTGGTCAGGATCTGAGCCGTGGGCCTTTGGCTCTTTTCCAAGTCCCTGGAGCGCCTGGCGGCCCTCCACAGGCCCCCGCAGTGGCAGGGGAAGGGGGCGGCAGCGCCAGAGAGACCCGACTCCGAGCCGAGCTGCCCTGGAAGAAGGTCTTCACTTCCCGTGGCCATGCAGAGTGCGTCTGGGCGGGCTGCCTGGCCTGTGACTTCACACGGGAGTCACAAGACTCACACACACAACCGACTTTTGGAGGAACAAATAAATTCTGAGTGTGACTTGAGCCTGATCTAGTCTGTCTGCTGGTGGTGGACAGAAGACATGTGCAGAGAGGCGGGGCAGAGTGCCCATCGCCTGGTCTCTGTCCAGCCTGGTGCCACCCACCTCGCTGTTCCCGAGGCCCCTGTGCTCAGCGCAATGCTGGACTCCCGCCAGAGCCGGGCTGCAGAGCTAGCAGCTGGCCATGTGCCTGGCCCGCCCAGCATGGCCCCTGCATCGCCGTGGTCCTAGCCTGACCTCTCCATCTGGCGGGGCGGCCCCACGGAGCCGTCCAGCAGCTTCCCAGTCCAGCCGAGTAGCACAGCCGCCCAGGCTCCCCGGGACCCACAGCACTGGGCCGGGCCCCCCACACATCCCCTGCCCGCGTGTCTTGGCTCCTGGGCCAAAGCTGTTGCTGGCTGATGGCCAAGGAAAGGGTTTCTGCCACCCCCATGATAAAGCCAAGACTGGAGCCCCACTGCTGGACTGTGGGCAGCATTTGGGGGCGCAGTAGCGCCTGGCCTGAGCAGAGGGGCACCACCAGGTGCAGACGGCCTGGCCTCCCTTTGTAAACAAGCAGCCACTTGCATTTCATGGTGCTCTAGGCTCCCCTCCCAAAGTAAGAACGAGACAAGCCTCGGCTTGGGGAGCTGACTGCTCGCCCCCACACAGGCAGCGTCCAGCCGCTGGCTGCAAAGCCAGGGCCCTCTCAGCCTCTGGGTGTGGTGCTTTCCAGCTCAAGCCTCACTCCTACCACGTGACACCGTAGTCCTGGGTCAATAGCATTTTGCTTTCTCCCAAGTGAAGTGTCAGCTAAAAACCCGCCCTCCTTGAGAATGCTTCCTGGGAAGGTTAGCCTCAGGCCCTGCGATAAGGGCTCCCTCCAGGCGCTTATCTGGGGAGCCCCTGTGCGGCCCTTGGGAAGCCGCAGCTCTTGACAGCAGTTCTCATGCTGCTGAAGGGGCCTTGTGGCGCATGTTAACATCTTGATCCCCACTTGGCAAGGTACAGAGCCCCTTTATTGCTGACTGGGAGAGCTGGGGGGAGGGAAGATCTATCCTAGCACCAGCTGTGGCCACATGGGGAGGGGGCGGTGCATGCAGGGAAGGCAGCCTGCAGGCTGGGTAAGAGGGTGCAGTGTGCAGCCTGCAGGCTGGGTAAGAGGGTGCAGTGTGCAG